TGACCCGCCAGCCGACCGGGGCCAGCCTCCCGAGGCCCCTCCGGCCGCCCCCGGTTCGGTCGGGATCAGGTGGCGGCCGGCCGTCGGCGGGGTGGGGGTCACGCCCCTGAGGCCCGGCCGGCCGGGCGTCCTCGAGGAGAGATGCGGCGCCGGTCGTGACTCGGCACCCACCCGCGACCGTGGCCGGGCGCGGGCCGCCGTCGGCCGGCTCGGGCGGACGGGCCGGCCGGCCGGCCGCCGTTCGCGGAATGTGTCGGGGAACACCGACTGACGTGTGACTCAGGAGCCGCCGCCGCCGTGGGGGCCGGATCTGTCACGGTGCTGAGCCAACGGAGCCAAAACCAGTCCGCTGCCACGGACGCCGGGCGCTGTTTTGGACTTATTCTTGCCATGTTAACCAGCAGCCACCATGGGTCCAATGCTTGTGTTATAGAAGAAAAACTGGGAACAGACCGTGCTCAATCCCGCGCCCATGTGGTGGCACGGGAGTGGAAGCGTTTTCTTCGCAGTTAACCGGCAGGGTATTCACGTGCCATGATGATGAATTGATCAAGCCAGCCCGGGCCAGGTCTTTGGAACTTGATTGCTTCCCACTCAGCGCTCAAGGTAATGATCCAGGCGAGATGATGGTGCCGACGACTAACACTTGTCGAAGGCACTTTGTCTTGTGACTCAAGCAGCTGTCATTCAGCGCCTACGGCGGTGCCGGTGAGCTGTGGTTAAGGGTTTAGATATATCGAACGACAAGGAGTCGGGATAAAGTCAGCAATAAAGGTACCCAGCTTTGCATGCGTGGACATCGTTGATATCGCTTACTTTCATGGCCTGGCTTCTGGCGTTATTGCAGTTTACATAGTTACATGATCCAGACCACCCATCGCAGGTCAGATAGAGACAAACCGGATATTGCTCAAGTCGTGAAGTAAACACCTCAAGGTTGGTGTCACGTGCCGGGCCAATTCGTCTTCGAGACCCAGTTCGATCACCACGAACCATGTTAGACCAAGCCGGATAAGGCGATCATGGACTTGACCGGACCGGTTCAAATCAGATCAGATTCTATCAGGCCAGACCAGGCCAAACCAGACCAAGCCGACCCTCACCAGACTCGGTCAGCCAGCGAGGCCAGGTCAGAGCCACAGTCCTCGTCCCCGTGAGGTAGCAGACCATTGTTTCCGGAACAAAGACTGTGTGATGCCCGCCGCCCACGCACGCAGGGAAGGTGGAGGCGCCACCGGGTCATCCCAGACAGCCAGCAGCAGCTGAGGTGGGGTGGGAGCCATCGGGTCAACCCACACAGCTGGCGGCAGGCGAGGTCTCCTCTGCCCCCTCCACTGACCCTCCCACTCCACCCGACGGGGAGGCCAAGGTGTCACGGCAGCCGTTCCCGCGCGGGGATTTTTCACCCGATCAGCCTGGCGAACAGCCAGCGGCGGCCGGTGTATACCCCTCGCTGTGCGGGAAGATGGAGTCATCACGGAGTCCGTCCAGAGAGCAGCCAGCGGCAGGCGCGCGGTCTCGCGCCCCTCTCACTCCCACGGGAGGGCGGAGCCATCAGCGGGTCGAACCAGACAGCCAGCGACAGCCGGGGTCACCCGCTCCACCCGCACCCGGCCCGCGCCGCCCGGCAGGGCCGCCAACAAGGCCGCATTACCATACGCCGGGCCGTGATAATTGCACGGGGCGCGGCCATGCTCCGGCGCGAGACCCCGACTGAGCAGCTGGCCGACGGGCGGCGACAAGCCGCCGCGGAGGGGCGGCAGGGCGGCGGCGCCACCGGACGGCACGCTCTTGCGTCAGCGGCCGCCGCCCGCGCCGCGCAGCCCTCGCCGGCGTGACCCGACGAACCGCCTGGCAGTGAAAGTCGCGGACGCTTAGCGGCGTCTCGCGCTGCCCCGCCTTGCCTCGCGTGCGGTACGGCACGCCGCCCGCAGCGGCGGCGCGGCGTCAACTGACGGTGTTGGCAGTAGTTGCGGTGTACCGCAACCCGGGCCGCCCAAGGCTGCTCCGCTGTCTGCTCGTGACGTATAGGAGTGCTGTCGTTTGCTCGCGGCTGTTAAGGCTATGTTGCTTGCTTAAAACCATGTCGTTATTCGTGTCATAAGCCATATTGAGGACAGTTATATCCATGTGGAACGAGGTGAACAGGGAGCTGAAACATGCACTTTTGAAAACGTGCATGGGCCGCTTTAAAACAAATTCGATTAATCCGACTATTTTGTATTTCCGATTCTTGAAGTCATAGTTGGACATCTCGCTAATATACACATCTTACGACCAGACAAAACAGGCGATCATTTGGCCAATTGACCCCCATTGTGAGCTTCTGAAAGTCTGGCCAATGCTGATCAGTAGTTTCCAAAGTTACACGCATGCGTACTTCACTCCGTGCCGCTCCAGATATTCCGGATCTGGCTCACTGAGCGCCAAGCTGAATTTCACCACCCGGTGAACATTCTTTGCGTTTTGTTTTCGTTCAGTCAATGAGTCGGCGCGCTAAGAAAAGTGAACACTCTCGCTCGCCGCTTGTGTATTGCCTCGTGAAAGGAGCGCTACACGCATGTGGTGTCCCGGTGCGCGCCACCAGCCGAGCCGGGAAAGCGCGGCTCGGAGGCGGAGGTCAGCGGCTGCGGCGGAAAAGGGCAATAAACCGCCTGTGGTGGCAACTGCCACAGCACAACTGAACAGCATCGGATAGCATCATCGAAGGTCAGAGTGCGTTCACGTGGTAACCAGCCCAATAAGCTTCCCCGCCCTTAAAGAGGGAGGACTATACACAAAGGAGAATTTCCGTTTGTTTGAAATTTTTGTCAGCTGTAAATTCCTGGAAACTGCAAAATTCATTCAAAGCTTGTCAGTTGAAACCAGGCTTCCTTGTACAGTGTTCCTGCTTCGGCGATGCTAGCTGGTACGTTCACACTGACACAATAGCCAAGCTAAAAGGCGTTATTCAAAAGTCCACCGTTGCTGTAATCATGCTACGAAACATGGGCTTCATGCAATTTTTCCCACAGTCGGGCGGTGCCCTCGGTTCAAGGTGGGCACTGTGCGCGCTATTGTTGCATCGCAATGGAGATTTACGTAATGATTAGATGCAAAATGTGGTCGCTCATGCCTGCGCAACCAAAAATAACCGGTGTTGTAAATTAGCCCTTATTTCAACCAGTTTCGCAGCCGAACATGTCATGTGCAGTCTTGGTTTTCGCGGCATAAAACGGCGCGCAGCGTATGCCGCGTTACCTGCTGCATTTTTCGAATTATCGATCTGATCAATTTGGACAGCGTGTTTTGTGAGATATTCCTTACATCCGACGCACAACATTCAGGGCTGTTGAATTAAGCTGATGGGAAAATAGACCACGGTTCATAATTCCGACTCCAGCGTAAGTTGGTGCTCAAAAATGCTTAGTGGCCATTGGAAACGAAGTCGCTATGAACATGAACCCCATTGCTGACGGTCTCTTCCCAGGCCGACCTTACCCCTGCAGAGCTGGCATTACGGTCCCCCAGACCGCGAGAAAGTGTCTAGTGCCTAATTGCAGAAGGGATGGACAAACCCGGTTCATTACAGCGGAGTCAAGGTGATCTAATTTGTTCAACGGCCCGAGCAAAGTGGAAGTATTGCAGCTACCAAGCGCATGCATTATCTTTCATTATAATTGCCTCATGCAGTTAAGACTGTCTTCAGCTCAGACAAGAACATAACGGCGCTTATAACATAACTCAACGTGACTTTCAGACCACCTTCCCGCAATGCGATGGCTGTGTCTCTGCACGGGGAAGTGGGACTCGGCTTAAGTGCCGCTCTCTTCCATGCCGGCGCCTGCTGGGACCGACCGGCTGGCGTCGCAGAACCAAGGTCAATGAACGCACAGACTGCTGGCGAACGTCGCACACTACATGGTTGTAAGTTATGCTTCCATCTACATTTACTCAGGCTTTTTGTCGAGGACGCCTGACAGCAGGAGACTTTCGTGGCGTTTGATGCAACTGTGGTGCCCCGATGGCCATGCGCTCCGTATTACAGTCAGCGAAAGCTGGCAAGAGCGTAACGCAGCTTCTGGCTCCGTGTCACAGCCAGCTGCAACTAGCAAGGGTGTAATGCGGCTTCTGGATCCGTTGCACAGCTAGCTACAGCTAGCGAGAGCATAACGGAGCTTCTTGCTCCGTCTTAGTCAGCTGCAGCTGGCAAGAGTGCAACGCAGCTTGGTGTAGGGGCGCACCACGAGGTGCAGACGTACGACACGTCCAATCACAAGACACAAGCTCGCACCCGTGATCAACAGTCCGATCAAAGGGGAATTCGTCAATGTTTTGAAAATACCTGCCAGGACATTTAGCAGTGTAACACACCTACATGGAAAAGATAATTAAGGAAAGATGATGCGTCTCAGATTTAACTCCTCGAGCCGCTGAGAGCTTATCGATCACGGACAAAGTGTCTACAGGCAGGACAAATCAGTAAGCTATCACACCGTTCCCTGCAGGGCAGCCTTGCATGCAAAGCCCCCCTAAGCGAGCGGTGCATGCGCACGAACGCCGTGCGACCAACCGCAAAGGCCACTCAAGTTTTATTCTGTGCGGACATTGTCTTCCGAAACTTCAGATTTGCATCAGATGCAAAAGCATGGGGCGGGGTGCTGATGCCTAGCACTAAACCAACTTCATAGGAAGGTGGTCTTCATAACCCATGTTGATCGAGCGATATTTATGAAGTCCATTATTTATTATTCCTTTATTTTGCTCTTATCTGGTCGAAAGAGTAAAATGTTTATTAGGAAATATTGTACAACAAAAACAGCTATCATCGGATGCGTCTTGTTGGTCTAAACCTATCACGAATTCTGTCAGCCGTCTGAACAGCTCAACCGAATTCAAAGCCCTGACATTAGTTCCTCGGCTCCAAGAGAGAAGCAATGTCAAGCCAGACCACTCCAGCATTCGTAAGATGCACAGTAGCTCACCCTACGTCCAGACGAGTCCCGACAGTTTCTGCTTACCTGGCACGTCCTCGTCGTTGAACTTCATCTCGATCATGTGCTTCATGGCGTGGTGGGGCACGAACGAAGCCATGAAGCGCTGCTGGCCCAGGTCCTTGACGTAGGACGTCACGTGACCGCCGTTCACCAGGATCTCCAGGTTACCGGCGCCGGCTCTGGAACCATCAACTGCGCGGCGAGGGAACGGGGGGGGGGGGGGGGGGGGCGTGAGAGACTGTCGCTTGCTTGCCGCTCTGTGCGGGCGCCGGGGGCTGTCTGGCCAGCCACAGGGGACTGGGACGGACCGCCGCGCTCTCAGCTGCAGCGGAACGCGAGGACAACAGCACGGGAGATGTCTATGCGACTCACTCAGGCTCACTTGGGCGCACTCGGAGTTACGACCCGACACGACCGATATTCTCCGAACGGCCGAAGAAAAATCAACACGCAAGGAATGGCTTTGGCTTCGGGCACAAGATCAGCGAACGCATACAGGGCTGCCCGTCCGCCTGCTCGGCCACCTCCTCGGCCGTCTTTGCCAGCCACCACTCACTCTCGAACTGGACGGGCCGGCCGACCGTGCCGTCCGGGATGCTGGCCACGCTGATCTGGACGTGTTGTAGACGCTGCTGCCCAGCGGCGAGCCGGGGATCGGCTCCCCGCGCAGCAGAATGTCGATCTCGTGGTCCCCCACCGTCTGGGAGGGGGAGGGGGTACTCAGGCGGCTGCCATGGTCCGCTGATATGCGATAATCTTGATTCGTCGCGCCTTTTAGGGTGTCATTAACGCGACTTGCATGCCGCCGGGGATTGAACAGAATCGTGTGAGCATGAGGCCATGCAACGCGAGGTGTGATGTATGACCACTCGCGCTCGTGCAGTGGCCTGGTCTTGTTTCTTTATATAACTGAGAAGGTGTGGCCATAAGGAGCTATGCTTGTAACGATAAGCATGATGACATTACTTTACATATGAAAGGTGATGCAAGGGATCAGCAGCGCCACCAGGCGGTGAGTTGTAATACCAAAGGACTTCCAATGGCAAAGGCTCACGTAGGCGGAGCTGACAGAGGTAAGGATAAACACTACATTTAGAATGTTAAGTGATTTTAGTACACCGATGATGATAGATAACTGAGTTTTATATGGTGCAAGTTTATATTTCCAACCGTCGTGGCTTAATCTGAGTGTCGTCACAATGGTCTCCGCAATCCTAGTTTCTGGAGCTTTTATCTCACATGCTTCATCCTTCAACTCCTCAACTCGCATTTTAGAAAATCAGTAGTTCACTTTCTCAACAGAGGAAATCTGTTAGGGATAATTCCCCATCCCGCGAACATCGACGTTTGCAATGCCGTGTGTCCGCACGAGCTCACCTGGGGCAGGTATTTGACGAGGAAGTCGTCGCCGGTTTTGCTGATGCTGCAGGGGACGCGACGGTCTGATGGGTCTGTGAACAACGACGAGTCAGGGCCGGAGGCGGTGCAGAGGTGGGCGCATGTCTGCTGTCGCAAAGGAACAAAACGCGTGTCCCGCCTATTAGTTTGAGATATCTTTCCAAATACAGTCTCCGTGGCCCGTCCCAATATGAATTTTCTGCCTTAATGGCGTCAATGCGTAGCCGTTTTAAACAGTAATTATGTAAAGCTTTGTATTCCGTACGACAGAGTTTCCCAGTTTTCTAATTTGTTTAGTGCACTCAGAGAACTCAGTTTGCTCAGCACACGGCGTAAACGCTTCTTCTCTACAGGGCAGTTATGTCTCGTCAGAGCCAGCGGATCTTCAGGCACTGGTGTCTGAAGCAGCACGGAGTACACCACGCTACTCAGCTAGTACAATTCTGGTGGCGACTTGGCATGTCCTCTATGTAGTTTTAACACAAACTGCACTGTTCACATTTAAAAAAAAATTCGTCCTCATGACATTCCAGCGGGCCCGTTACATGCGATAGTAAAGCTACGAGCAAACCATCTGAGCCCCGAGCAAACCATGTGAGCTACGAGCAAACCATATGAGCTACGAGCAAACCATCTGAGCTACGAGCAAACCATCTAAGCTACGAGCAAACCATCTGAGCTCCGAGCAAACCATCGGAGGCGACGGGACCGCAGCGAGCGGCGGCCCACAAGCCGCCTGCCCGATCTGCGCCGTGCGTGCGCGGCCCGCTGACCTCGTATGGTGACCTGGAGGTCGGCCTTGGCCGTGCCGCGCGGCGCCGTGACGGTGAACTCCGCCGGCCGCGACACGGGCGTCGTGCGCAGGCCGGCACCGCGCACCGTGACGTCACCGTGCGTGGTGGTGATGTCGGAAGAGTGGGGCAGTCGGCCAGGGAGGACTGCAGCAGCCGGTCCGAGGAGGACTGCAGCAGTCGCGAGGACGAGCTGGACTGCACCTGTCGCCGCAGACGGAAACGTTACGCACAGAACGCGAGACTGTGACTGCACTTATCACAAGGAAGCTGACATAAGGCCCTGCGATGCTAGTCACCACGCGTAAGCTTGTACCAATTGTGAATATAAACACTGCACGTACGTCATGGCCCAGGTCAAGAGCGTCGCAACTGCACAGCATCACATGTTGCTCTCGGGCTCGAGTGGACATCCGAGCTCGGGTGGGTGCTCGGGCCGGCTTGTGAGTACTTGAGCTGCATCATGACAGCTGAGTACGTACTCGAGCCCGTCACAAGGAATATGGATGACGATGCGGTCCACGTAAGCTGGTTTCGGTGGATGGCCTGCTTCTGGCGCATGACCGGACGGCAGATACCGTGCCCGGGAGGTTGGAAAGCCTGGATAGTGCGTCAATTTTGTGTGCGTGTGTGTCATTGGGGCTTTACGACGCACCCAGCTGCTAAGGCTATATGACGCCGTCCGCCTCTCACCCTGGCAGAAAGGGCGGGCGCCGCAGGAAATCTAACCCCTACCGCCGCTTCCCCAGACGCGGGGTGGTTAACGCAGACGCGTTAACCACCAGCAACCCCGGTGCGTCGGTTTTGACAAATGGCATTCTTCAATGCCTGTACATAGAGAGCTTTTGTCTATCACACCCGCCGCATCGTCCTACCGGATCAGGTCCGATAGAAAATTCCGTTTCGCGTAAGCAAACAGCTTTCCCCATTGGTTCAACTGATCTTTCCACTCTGATTATACAACGAGTAACGCAGTGCGGCGCAGAAACACTGTGTGTCCCAGTTGCACTGGCGCAACTGTTAACATCATTGCTGCATTCGCCAGCGGGATGACAATGCTGAACGTCCACAAACAGGCGAATAAACTCCAGCAATCCAATACCTGCTCTTCAAGACGAGTGAGCGAATCAGTGTATCTCTCGACCTTCTCGGACCGCTCGACGGTGGACCGGTCCACGGTGGACCGATCGACGGTGGACGGTCGATGGTGGACCGGTCGATGGTGGACCGGTCCAGTCCGGAGCGGTCCAGGGTGTCGCGGTCCGCCCTCGGCACGTGGATCTTCTCTGCCGACGACGGGTCGAAGTCCGGCCGTGCTGTGGCGGGACGGGCGGGGTGGCCGGCGCATCAGGTGACATCGTGCAGTCAGAGGACGGGCGGCGGCAGCGGGGCAGCGTCATGGAATATATGTGGCGATGATGGCGATGATTCCGGTTTTAGACCGCACCGTTAGTATCGGTCGTGTGACGTCCATATGGAATGTAGATGCAGGCCACGCTTGAGCAGTAATGCGACATTTCAGCCGATAGAAAGGGACGCAGATAAGCCTTCTGGTATGACTTAGAGGTGCATTCCATTTCTCACATTACCTACGCTTACGAACGTAGTCTTTGGAGCAGTTGTGAGCTTTTGCATAATAAGGGCCAAATCTCTGACATCCGAAAAAAAATATCTGACATTTTTGTAAGCGGAGAAAAACTGCCCATTGAGACAAAGAACAGGCATACTGGCAGGGACAACGGCATATCCAAATTGGCAACCACTTAATCACACACTTCCAGCTTCACACCCCGACATATGGCTGCCGGAGCACCGACCGGCCGCCGCACGGTAGGGTCACACCAAGGTCGCTCTAAGCGCCGCGCCTCACCTGATTTGATGATGTGCTTGATATGGGCGTCCGGGTCATAGGGCAGGTCGTCGAGGGCGGAGCGGCTCCGGGAGCGAATGTCCCTGCTGTTCCACTCTGCAACCGGAGAGAGAGAGAGGGGCGCCCATCACCAGGGGTGGATCTAGCCTGGAGTTGTTTTTTTTTAGGGGGGGGGAGCAGCCGTTTGTCGCCAGCTGGCCGGTGTGGGATCCGAGGTCCAGTGCATGGTGCCTCTCGCGAGTAACTAGTAGGGACACCATTCAAGCACCGAAATGCTTTTGAATCTTCTATATACAGTATGCATGTTTACAAAACTCGTAACTTAAGATATTACTTTCAAGTCAACTGGTCAGATGGGGCCAAAGTTAAAGTCAAAACAGACAGTAAGCAGACGAAACTTTTTGAAGTTCTTGGAATGTTTTGGGGGGCCAAAACATACTCTCAGAGTTTTGGGGGCCATGGCCCCGTGCCTCCCCCCCCCCAGGATCCGCCTATGCCTATCACAGCCTCGCAACAGAGCACATCGAGGCAGCGTAGCTGCGCACACGCCGACATTGTAGCAGAGACTTCATGTGCACACCCGCACATGAGCAAGCGAATTAGGTTTCAAAGACAGACGTGGACATGCACGGAGAGCGAACGACACATTGCCATCGCGAGTGACCTGTTTCAGTGTAAACGGAACTGGAGCGGTGATCGAGCCAAATGTGCAGTGAAAAATGGGAACAGTGTTATCAAACGTTTGCCCCGATATTTACGCTTTCCCTGATATTTACGCTTGATATTGTCCTCTGAACAATACCAAGCGTAAAGGGGTGTGATTTTTATCTACATCTTCCACGCATTTCGATTCCGGGCACGAGGAGGTCACGTAAAGATCGAAGGACTTCGGATTCAACATAGTAACTCCTGAGACGAGAACGTATTTTACGCAGAAACAGCTCATCACCAACCCTCAATGCTGGTGTTGTTCAGGGTGTTGTTGGTGACTTGTTCGATAGCCAGCCTCTTGTCCTGGTGGTCAGCGGCCCGAATCACCTGATGATCTGAAACAAGGGCGCGTCTCTCGCATCACAAACACCAGAAGGGGAAGACCAGCAGCGTGTACCAATTGAGTCCAGTCATGTCGTCGCGGCTCGTCGAACAGTCCATTCAGGTCGCCCCCAGAAGGCCATTATAAGGCGGTTAGTCACGTCGGCACCATGCGTGGAGTGCTCACACAGTGGACGACCTCTCCACAGCAGGAATCCTTCACCGTCTAGCTAGGTCTCTCGATGTCGCGACCCAGCCGCTCCACCAGCAAAGCCCGGAAGCATGCGAGCCTCAGCGAGGAGCCAGCGCCGCTGCCGGGTTAGAAGCCGTGCGACCAGCCGTGCGTCGCCTCCGCCGTCCGCCGCGCCGCCCGTACCTTTGACGACCGTCCGCTTCAGCGAGTGGAAGCTGGTGGCCTCGTAGCCGGGCTCGGTGACCTTGTAGCGCTCGACGCGCGCGTGCGAGTGACGCCGCTCGTCGGTGAACTCCTCCACCTCGCGCGTCACCTCGCGGCCGTCGTCAAGCGTCTTGGTCTCGCGCAGCACGCGCAGGCCCGGCTCGGGCTCGCTGGAGTCGCGGCGCACCCTGCTGACGGTGCGCTCGAACAGCTGGCGCAGCTCGTCGTAGCTCTCGTCGCCGGGCGGCGGCGCACCTGCAGCGCCTGGCTCGGGTCGGCGGCCGGAGAGGTGGGCCGCGCGCCCCCCCGCTGGCTGCTGGGCGGCAGCGCGTCGCCCGGCGCGAAGTAGCGCTCCGTCACGTTTTGGATGCGCTCGTCCAGCAGCTGGTCGGGCGGGTCGACCGGCCGCGCCACGCCGTTGCGCACCACCTTGGCCGTCTTGCGGAAGGGCGGCTCGGGACTCGATCCCGGCGCGCTGCGCAGCGGCTCGAGGCGCCCCGGGGATGGCGAACGGGGTCGCGTCGCCTGGCCCGGCACCGCCAGCCGATCGGGCGTCGGACGTTCCTCGGTGGTGCGCGTGCGCGTCGTCTTCGTCACGGTGCTGGTGTAGCGCTCGGGCGTGTCGCGGTCGTGCGGCCGGTGCGTCTTGGTGACGGTGGTGGTGTGTCTCTCGGCCGGAGGCCGCCGCTCTGGGGTGTCGCGGCTGTCGGGCCGGTGGGGTTCGGGCGCCACCCGGCGGTCCACGCTGTGCCAATCCTGCGACCGGTACTCTCTCGTGACCGCGGCTCGTGTAGCGCTCCGGGGTGGGCCTGCTGTCGGGACTGTCCCGCTCCTGTGGGCGGTACGTCTTCGTCGTCGTGTAGCGCTCGGGGGTCCGCCGCTGGTCCGGGCTGTCGCGACCCGACGGCCGGTACGTCTTCGTCGTCGTGTAACGCTCGGGGGTCCGCCGCTGGTCCGGCCGGTCCCGCTCCTGCGGCCGGTACGTCGTGGTAGTGTACTTCTCCAGCGGCGGCGGCGCTCGGGCGTATCTCGCTCCTCCGGGCGCGCCGGCCTGGTGGCGGCGGTGCGGCCCGGCAGCGGTCGCCGGTCAGGACTAGAGTCGGTGGAGGGCGGGTAGATGTAGTCAATCTCAGTCTCCTCCACCACGCGCCGCGTGACGCGCGGCCGTCCGGGCCCGTCGACCACCGGGGCCGGGCTCCGGCTGTGCCGCGGGTTCAGCACGCTCTGCGTGATCTCGCGCCGCTCCGGCCGGTACTGTGTCGTGTTAGAGTAGACGGGCGGCGAGGACCGCCGCGTCGGCCGGCCGCGCGTCTCGTCCCCGCTCTCCGGGCTGTCGCTGCGCCGCTCCGTCACGTGCCGCTCCACGTGCCGCTCCACGTGGCGCGTGTACGTGGCGGCGGGCGGCGACGGCGAGCGTTGCCGAGGGCTCAGGTACGCTGCCCGGTGGTGTGGGTGGTTGCGACGGCGCTCTGGGCGT